TAAAGAGCACCCCGTGAAGCCTTGTAAACACCTGATGCTAAGCAGCCCACTTGTACCATTTTTTTATAGTTTATAAGAGTTTACTGGTTTAGACAAAGTGAGAAGTGTCAGTTGACACGAGATTGCAAAAAGAGTTAGAGAGTGCTAGTTGCCCCTCCCAAGCCGAACAGCGCTGCCTTGCCGCGCTCGCCAACTATACTAGGGTGTCGGGAGAGACCAACGATCGGAAAAGATGAAACTCTAGTTTGAAATTCGAAGTTCAACAACCCCCTGCTAGGAATGGCACAATGACTGTGCACGCTGTTTCCAGATGCCATATTATAGACTGAGAGCGATTTTGAGGTGGCAGATGTTTGATGGGAACTATGAACCCATGAATGCTTCAAGAAACTCACGTAATCCGATCGCTACAATAAGCAGCCACAAGTTTGAACGGTAGCTGGACTACGGTAGTCAGTGAGACCAAAATACCAGTAGTTTCCACTGCGAAACCAAAAACTCGACGGAAATAAATAGGTGCATATGTGGAGAGCATGACCATCGAAGACATTTCACAAAAAGCATTAAACCATACGCAAAGAATCACTGGACTTGATAGGAGAGCCTGAACACCTTCAGACTTTGAAACATAGGGAATCATCAGAAGTATGTAGGTAGCCAAACCGAAATTACCTTGTAGGGGACGTCTTGCTTGTGCTCGATGTGATCAGCACTTTTGTCATTCTGAAACGAAAATTAGCTGGAGACGAAGTGAACCTGAGCGAGCGACTTCATTTCAGCAAATGTTCCGGAATACTATAGTGCACGCGGTAAAGTCTTCACGGTAAGCGTTTGATTAAGCGAATCCTGCCAAGGAGAACAAACTGGTAGGGAAAATAAAATGACCCTGGGAAGCAAATATTGCCTAGTGGCTCTGGCTAGGAAGCTCGGCAACTATTGAAACTATTCCTACCCCAAAAAACTCAAAAAAAAGTTTTATCGCTGAAACGTTGTCTATAGATGTAATTCGATGCGCTGATCACGAATATTACATCCGTTTCGAGCGCTGGCGTCATTTGGCGCCATTATGCGCCAATTTGGCGCCCACCACTTTTTTCACCAAAGTCGATGAAAACTTGCATATGGGGGTTAATTGAGGTCCTGATTACAAACATGCAACATTTATTTTGCGGCGCATTTGGCGCACAGCATATGCGGCCAATTTACTGGCGCATTTTGGCGCCAAATGGCGCCAGCGCTTGAAACCAGTGTGATATTCGTGATCAGGATGTCGATTAACCCCCATATGCAAGTTTTCATCGACTTTGGTGAAAAAAGTGGTGGGCGCCAAATTGGCGCATAATGGCGCCAAATGACGCCAGCGCTTGAAACCGAGATGTGATATTTTGTGCTCAGCGGCATTCGATACATCTGTGGCCAATGTTTCAGCGGAAAAAAAAGTTTTTTTCAGTTTTTTTGGGTAGGACATAATTCACTAGTGCGGAAGGCTTCTGTTTGTTAATCCGTCGTGTTTTCCGAGCTTGTGACTTTTGAAAACATATTGCGCATTTACCTCCATAGAAGGTTCTTTTCCTGTACGGAGTGAATGGGTCGGCTGTGCAGTAGAGTGCCACGCTGGCAAAAAGTGCAGCGGATGGAGCTGAAGGGTAGTGGTACGCCAGGTGCTTTCTCCATACTCCGCGCACGGTGCCGCACGTGCCAGCGCAATTGCTGATGTAGCCGAGCGCTCTATTTGTTTGGCGCTATCTGCTATCCGGTTGTTTCTCTGCAGTTGCAAGTGGCGTGTTTCAGCTGCGGGACCCTGGTAATCGACGCAAGTGCGGCAGCCTCGAGGATACCGCGGTAGAGTATGGAGAGGGCACTTGGTTTAGCAGCTAATACTACGGCCGAGGCCGTTCTGGTGTGTTTGACTGGAAAAAAGCGCACAACTACTGCAGTTGGCGGGAACGCAGTCTCCTCAACTTGCGAAAACACCGACTGAGAAAGTGAATGTGAGGTCCTGCTTCGAAGTAAAACTGCACGGACTATTGAGTCTTGAGGCAGATTGAAGCGAGAAGTTGCGGCTCATAACTTTACGACAACGGAGTTCGCGCGATTGCTTGAGCGCAGCGAAATTCAAGGAATTTTCTTGATGAACCTTATCACATCTTTTTTATTGTTTGCTGTAGTCATAATGGGTTTCACTCCTTTTCGAGCATCACTAACAACCTCAACAGGTGGCTCAAACCTCGAACCTTGGTCTTCTCCCCTATCTCTCGAAACCTTCGCTACTGCCTCCGCAAATTCCCAGGGAGTTGATGAACGAGCTGCGAAGCTGCCTAATTTCCTAATAACAAGGTAGTACACGGTGCGCAGCGGACGCTGGCACGACATATGGTCTTTAATCCGAGAATGGGTGTAGCTGCAAGGGCTGCCCAGAAGATGATAGGTAGACAATAGGACGCATATGCAAGGGAGGAGAGAACTGCGCAAAAGACGTTGCAGTCGCCCGTTGACGCGCCTTTTCCGACAAGATGGCCCCAGAGCAGGACGGTTCCGGACTGATCTGACTGGCCATATGTCCAAATTTTTTCAAGAGGGCAAAGCTTGGCATATTTTTAATGTTCCCCGGACACCCATAGTCCTACTAAGCCTGGGCATGTTTTTAATTTCCCGGGCAGTCCCATGTGTATGCCTTTTGCTGGGCCAGCGTATCGTAGAAACGAATAGCCTCAGAAAAAGGTCTGTCTCCATGGGTTTTGCCCTAAACAAATGAGCCGCCACGGCGAGTGCCGCCTCCTCCTCTACTTCTCCAGCTCCTTGACGAAAGTGATCTTCGGCAAGTTCTAGAATACATAACACACAGACTTTTTCATTTGACCCTTGATGGATCTTAAACCCACCTGGCGTTTGCCATGCGAGACTTTGCGCGCTAGCCGCTACGCCGGAGGACTGCCTCTAACACGCTTGGTGGCTTTCATGCATGGTTACTGGTTACTATTCTTTGCTTTTGTGAAATGGATTAGTTCTCACCTGGATGTGTAATAATTCTTTTTTTGAAACTCGTTTGCAAAGTTGTGGATCATCTTTGTAGAAAATAAACCATAGACTAAAAGCAAACACTCCACATATTCCATGCAAGTAGTATGACGATCGCCATCCCAAAGAGGACGTGCACAGCTGCAATAGCCCTAACTTTTATAATTTACTACATTGACAGTTGTTTCAAAGTTAATTAAAATGTAGTTCGTCAATCTGGTCTTGTCGGGAAAGGGAGGGAAGGGGGAGAGTTGCGTGGGAAACGCAGATAGACCACAAACCCTCTCATCTTCTACGTTTCTCAGGGTTGGTGGTAAGCGACGGACTGATCACTCGTTCAGTATACCCCAGGGATAATGTTGTTAGGATGGCGCAGGGGAGCTCAGTTGTACCGTCGTGTTCCCCCCTCCCACTCGTTCAATTGCACTAGCGCCGTCATCGGATCGAACGGATGTAGCACAATAGCTAGAGATGTTCCATCTGTGAATTAGATCCTGCTCTGGCAAATTGAACCCTCCGTCCCACTAAGGCAGTCGACTTCTGCCAGGCTTGTTCTAGAGATCAAAGATAGATTGCATATCGGGAGCGAAAATGGCTCCTCCTTCCCAGGGATCCCTCGGATATGAACTCTTCATTGAGTAGCCTGCATAGGACGGGGGTATAAAGATCCT